TTTTTTTTTTCCTTCATTTTGAGATAGGGTCTTACTTAATTGCTGAGGCTGGCCTCAAACTTGGGTTCATCCTGCCTCAGCCTCCTGTGTTATTGGGATTACAAGATTTGGGCCACCACAACCAGCTCTTTCTGTAACTTTTTGAGAAACCATCAAACTATTTCCCAAACTGGGCACAGTGGCACAAGCCTATAATCTAAGCAATTCAGGAGGTTGAGGCAGGAGGTTCACAAGTTGTAGGTCAGCCTGAGCAACTTAGTGAGACTGTTTCAAAGTAAAAAACAAAAAGGGCTGGGGATGTAACTCAGTGGTAAGATCACCTGGTTCAGTTCCACAAAAAAAAAAAAAAAAAGTACACAAAGAATTACCATGATACTGCAATTCCACTTCTAGTATAGACAGAATTGAAAGCAGGGACTCAAACATACACTCGCCCACTCATGTTCATAGCATTATTTGCAATAGCCCATATTCATAGCATTATTTGCAATAGCCCAAAGACTGAAACAACCCAAATGTGTACCCACAGATGAATAGATAAGAAAAATGTGGTATATTCATACAATGGAATATTACAGTAATTAAAATGAATAAAGTCCTGATTCATGCTGCAACATGCATGAACCTTAAAGACATTATATAAGTGAAAAAAGTCAAACACAAAAGGATTAAACATTGTATGATTACAGGTAATGAAATATATAAATAGGAAAATCTATAGGCAGTAGACTAGACGTTACCAGGGGCTGAAAGGAGGGGGAGGGGAATTACTGCCTAATGGGTATGATTTGTGTTTGGGATGATAGAACATTCTGGAAATAGGGTTAAAGATTACACAACATTGTGAAATGTGAATGTACTTAATACTTGATAAAACTTCTAAAATTTTTGTCCTAAATTTATCTACAAAGGCCAGAGGATAAAGGGAGAAAAAGATAGGGCAAGTTAATCAGTTAACAGCTGCCTACAAAACCAATAAAAACGCTGTTGAAACTTAGGCTGGGGATATAGTTCATTGGTAAAGCACATGCTTAACATGTATGAGGCCCTGGGTTCAATTTCCAACACTCACTCTCCCAACACAAAATTCCTAATGTTGAAACTTTGACTTAAACTCTATCACTGCTACCAGGGCCATCACGGCCTATGTACACATAAGCTTTCTGGACTGTTGATCCCAACCAATCCAGAAGCAACAAGCGCTTCTCTTTAAAAACCATCTTATCCCAATATTTTGCCTCCTTTGAGTTATCCTGCCCTTTTCATCTACAGCCAATGTAGGTTACAGTGTTTTTCCTTCCCCCAGAGTTCAGGAAAAAAAGCTCTTAGCTCCTGTTTGATAGACATTTCCAACTGCTACCTGTCCCCAATGCTGAGTTTGGGGAATGTGTCCCAGGACTTGTCCTTTCCTTTTCTAACTGGCATCTATCACAGGTCAATAAACCCTATTATTTCACAGATCCCTTGGTCTCAAAAATTTGGTTTTATGTGCCAATGAGTTGTACACCTAGAAATGGTTAAAATGATAAATTATAAGCCCAGTATATTTTACCAAGATAAATACAAAAACAAAACAGCCAGGCATGGTAATGCATGCCTATAATCCTAATACTCAGGAGGCTGAGGCAGGAGGTTCAAAAATTCAAAACCAGCTTTGGTGATTTAGCAAGACCCTGTCTCAAAATAATAG